TTGCGCAATAGCAAGAAATTGTCAATTGTGCAGTATTGCGCAATAGCAAGAAATATTCAATTGCACAGTATTGTGCAAAAGAAGATACTTCGTATAAATTGCTTATTTCTTGACCAATTTCAATGGGGTTTTCTTCTTGAATTCTTGGGGTTCTTTAATATGCTGAATCTAACTGTGTATTAAGTTTTTGGATTTTGGGCCCCGTTTTTAAATTGGTCCACATTGAGGTCCAAAGGGTCCAAAATTAAACTTTGTTTGATTTCATCAAAAATTGAATTATTGGGGTTCTTTGGTTGATATGACGAATCTAACTGTGTATTTAGATTCTTAATTTTTGGTTCCGTTTTCAAATTGGTCTACATTAAGGTCCAAAGGGTCCAAAATTAAACTAAGTTTGATTTTAACAAAAATTGAATTCTTAGGGTTCTTTGATATGCTGAATCTAAACATGTATTTAGATTTTTGATTATGGGCCCAGTTTTCAAGTTGGTCCAAATCGGGGTCCAAAATTAAACTTTGTTTGATTTCAACAAAAATTGAATATATGGGGTTTTTTGATATGCTGAATCTAACCATGTATTTAGATTTTTGATTTTTGGGCCCCGTTATCAACTTTGTCCACATTGAGGTCAAAAGGGTCCAAAATTAAACTTTGTTTGATTTCATCAAAAATTGAATTCTTGGGGTTCTTTGATATGCTGAATCTAACCATGTATTTAGATTTTGGATATTGGACCATAATAGGTGAATGTCCAATTTAAAATTTTTAAGTTCTTAGACCACATTCATTCTGTGTCAGAAACCTATGCTGTGTCAAATATTTAATCACAATCCAAATTCAGAGCTGTATCAAGCTTGAATGTTGTGTCCATACTTGCCCCAACTGTTCAGGGGTTCGACCTCTGCGGTCGTATCAAGCTGCGCCCTGCGGAGCATTTTATTTGAAAATAAATTATAATAATCTGTGCATACAGATGTTTTTGTCAAAAGACAACACACACACACATTTCCCTGTATCAATAATACCTCCTAAAGGTAATGGTAGAGACATGGACAATTCTAACTTTAGGAAGATGACCTTGTATATCAATAATACCTCCTAAAGGTAATGGTAGAGACATGGACATTTCTAACTTTAGGAAGATGACCTTCTATGTCAATAATACCTCCTAAAGGTAATGATAGAGACATGGACAATTCTAACCTTAGGAAGATGACCTTGTATATCAATAATACCTCCTCAAGGTAATGATAGAGACATGGACAATTCTAACTTTAGGAAGATGACCTTGTATATCAATAATACCTCCTCAAGGTAATGATAGAGACATGAACAATTTTAACTTTAGGAAGATGACCTTGTATATCAATAATACCTCCTAAAGGTAATGGTAGAGACATGGACATTTCTAACTTTAGGAAGATGACTTTGTATATCAATAATACCTCCTCAAGGTAATGATAGAGACATGGACAATTCTAACTTTAGGGAGATGACCTTGTATATCAATAATACCTCCTCAAGGTAATGATAGAGACATGGACAATTCTAACTTTAGGAAGATGACCTTGTATATCAATAATACCTCCTAAAGGTAATGGTAGAGACATGGACAATGCTAACTTTAGGAAGATGACCTTCTATGTCAATAATACCTCCTAAAGGTAATGGTAGAGACATGGACATTTCTAACTTTAGGAAGATGACCTTGTATATCAATAATACCTCCTAAAGGTAATGGTAGAGACATGGACATTTCTAACTTTAGGAAGATGACCTTGTATATCAATAATACCTCCTAAAGGTAATGGTAGAGACGTGGACAATTCTAACTTTAGGAAGATGACCTTGTATATCAATAATACCTCCTAAAGGTAATGGTAGAGACGTGGACAATTCTAACTTTAGGAAGATGACCTTGTATATCAATAATACCTCCTAAAGGTAATGGTAGAGACGTGGACATTTCTAACTTTAGGAAGATGACCTTGTATATCAATAATACCTCCTAAAGGTAATGGTAGAGACATGGAAAATTCTAACTTTAGGAAGATGACCTTGTATATCAATAATACCTCCTAAAGGTAATGGTAGAGACGTGGTCACTTCTAACTTTAGGAAGATGACCTTGTATATCAATAATACCTCCTAAAGGTAATGGTAGAGATGTGGACAATTCTAACTTTAGGAAGATGACCTTGTATATCAATAATACCTCCTAAAGGTAATGGTAGAGACATGGACAATTCTAACTTTAGGAAGATGACTTTGCATATCAATAATACCTCCTAAAGGTAATGGTAGAGATGTGGACAATTCTAACTTTAGGAAGATGACCTTGTATATCAATAATACCTCCTAAAGGTAATGGTAGAGACATGGAAAATTCTAACTTTAGGAAGATGACCTTGTATATCAGTAATACCTCCTAAAGGTAATGTTAGAGACGTGGGACTTTAGGAAGATGATCTTGTATATCAGGTTGAAAAGTAGGACAACCATTAATCAAATTAGAACTTCTCATATTGTTTGTTTTCTATAAAGGAAATGGCAAGGACATTTAATAGTTTATAAAATTATTTGTAAGGTGAATGTCATTTGAAAAATTCTATTTTTGTAGAGCAACATTCAACATAATCTTGAATTTACAAGAACTGCTGTCTCTTAAATTGGAAATTATTTTTGAATAATCAAAAATTGATTTACAAATATGAATTAAAGATTATAAATTATATATTTGAAAGTTTATAGATATGTATTGTGATTTTACTGATTATATGTTAGGATAGTTGAAAGCATGAAAAGTATTAGAATATGGAATAAATCCAAGTTTCAGTGGTTCTTAAATTCATGTAATAAGGGGAAAGGGGGGGGGGGGGGGGGGGGGATATCCCAAAAAATGAGAAGTTCGAAATTGTCAAACTATATGAAATAACTGATCATCCTATCTTGTTAATTGCAAAATTGCTGAAAATTTATTTATAACAGAGCTCTATATCTGAGAATTATCCGTTCTTTTGTTCAGTATCAGCAATAAGGATGTGAATAAAAATTTGCCTTTATGTTCAAGTAAAAATATGAGAAGCTACAATGTTATTTTTGGCCTTATTTGCGAGTATTTTCAAGCTGACAGAGAAAAGACAATGAACCAATTTATTTATAGATAGAAGTAATGATATATTTGTATACTAGTTGGCAAATGGTAACTTGCATGAATTGATAAGGAAGGTAATATGGAGAATATCAGTCAATCGTACTATATGACCTGTTATGGAATAATTTATACATGTATCTTATTCTTCATTTGAAATGTCTGGTTTTATGTTGATTTGTGAGTTTTGTCAGGAAATGTCATAAGAAATTATAAATACATATCTATCTGATGAATAGCAGTGAATATTATTGACACTTATCATGCAGGTATGTTTATGAGATGCACAATCTGCTTCCTCCAATCGAATATAAAAATACATACACATATTCTAATACATGTAATTACATGTGAAAGAATAGAATTTAGAAACTCTGTTTGAAACAGTTTATCAGCCAAGTTGGCTCAAGAATTACATGTTTCAATACAAAGATATAAAGAACAAGCAGTGTGCTTAGTTATATTATTATAAGTAACTAAAAAAGTGAATATTAAGAGAAATAAGTGTCAGTGCTAATGATTTACCTACTGATCAACAAGATGAAAATAACTTGCTGAGGTCATAATATGATTTTTAGTTATAAATAGGTGGTCAATCCTCTTAGTGAGATTGATGTAGCTGTGAGCATATGGTTTTCATTACCCTACAGTCGTAAATAAATTACAATACCAATCACCTTTCTGATAGATTTTACAAGATTTATAGCATACTGCATGGTGAATTTTGGTCCTGACTTCTGTGCACCAACCACTTATCAATTTTCTCTGATTGATATGTAGTTCTTCCTTAATAGAAGTGCTAAAAATAGATGGGCCATAGGATATGTATTGTACATCAGACATCTGTTCGTTCAACAGATCTTCTAATGCATGGTTAACGTTGTCTTCTGATAGAATGGCTAAGGCAACTTATTTCAAATTTACAATCATGGAAAGGACAACATTGAAGAGGCATTAAATTTATACACTTGAATTCATATTTGACGGTTATTAAATACAAATTTCACTTTAAATTTAGTCCGATAATAGAATACATTACAGCATATGAAGCATAAGGTGGACAGAAATTAATAACATGAAAAATGAAAAGATTTGATATAAACAAAATTAATACATGAAAAATGAAAAGATTTGATATAAACAAAATTAATACATGTGATAACCATGAAGTCTATTTATCTCATGCCCTAAATGATGGATAAAAACTTTTAAAAAATCAGAAGCAGTCAAATTTAAATACTTTTCTTCTATTTTTTTAACAAACCTACAAATATTGAACTTGTGTTTATAAACATGTATGAATATGCATTCCTTTAATCTAGTTAGGTCATGATGCAAGTCAGGGCTTCGGTGACCAAGTGGTCTAAAAGTCAAAGTACTGTATCACTAGCCTGTCAACACTGAGGTTGTGAGTTTGACTCCTGTATGTGGCAGGTGGGCTAGATTTCAATCATAATTAACTACGATTGTCAGTTTTCCTACCAAAGGTCGTTGGTCCTTTCTGGGGACTCCAGCTTCCTCCACCAATAAGAACTGACCACCATGAAATAGCACAATAGTGCTGAAAGTGGCATTAAACACCAAACAATCATCCATGATAGGTGTCTGATAACAGTTGTCTGGATTGTTGATTAAATCAAATGGGGCTTATAAGTACTTTGTTGTTTTATAACATTGAGAAGAAAATCCCCAAAATGACAACTGATGTAGCACATTGCAATACCTTATTTTATTTTTCATACTTTTTTTCAGGATTATTCATTTGAGGAAAGCAGAGTTTTACATATTCTTGCCAATGGATTTTTTTATATGGCTGCCATAATTTGTATTTTTATTGTTTATTTGTAGGTACATGGGAATTGGATTATCAGCTCAGGGTGTTAATATGAACAGACTTCCAGGCTGGGATAAGAATTCATTTGGTTACCATGGTGACGATGGTCATTCCTTCTGCTCGTCAGGTTCCGGTCAGCCGTATGGTCCAACATTTACTACAGGAGATGTGATTGGTTGTTGTGTTAACATGATCGATCACACATGTTTCTATACTAAAAATGGAATTAATTTAGGTACAGTCATATAGATTTGTAACTTTATTGAACATTTATAACATTGAAATGGTATCATCAAGAGAAAAGTAAATATAAAGAAAAAACTTACCATATGAAAAAATTAAAATCGTCTGGCATTATTTGTTTACTTTATTTAAAATTTCATCCGATTTATTGGGTACTAGTATCTATTGATACAGGGATAGATTAGGGTCATACAGGGAGTAATATTCACTGAAAATATATAAGTTATAACATATTACATGTTCAACATAACATCTGGGACAAAAAAAATCAGTAACAGGCAACCAAAACAAGATGACATCTTCAAAACTTTTTTGAAGATATTATGACCCATGATTTCTGCATTGGTTATGATCCAGTACATTCGCTGAAATTTCCTAAAGTTATATCAGTAAAGCAAATTAAATTCAAATAATATTGGATGTATTTTTTGATGATGAATACCTGTATATTTAATGCTTTATTTCTTCTTACAGGAGTAGCATTTACAGATCTACCTATAAATACAGTAAGTCATAGTTAATAAAATGCTTTAGTCTGCAAAGTATATCAGAATCAGAAAAAAATATCAAATACTTAAATCTAGAACTTATCAAAATGAATCATTGTAATGTTGTTATTTGAGTGCCTGATTTTCTTTGCTGGAAAAACTTGATTTTACTTTATTCTGTATAGATAGATAGATAAATTTTTATTTTCAATAGACGACCCATTATGGGCATAATCAGTACAGTGATTTTTTATATTAAACAATTGCAATATAGACAATACACAAGAAAAACAACTCAAACATGAAATATAAATTGAATTAATAATATATATAGCCTTATAAACAATAATTGACCATGCACCATAAGCAGCATCACATCCATTATAAAAATAGCTTTTATGAGTTAAGCCATCTCCTGACTGATGCATATGACCAAATAGTATTGTTGTCCATATGCAGGAGTCACCAAGGGCAGGTGCTTAAAGGACACTCAAGCAAATACACACAAATATAAAAGTATATGTAAAGTCACAATCAAGAAGATATTGTGTTTTCACCAATGTTGCATGTCTTATATTGTACTACTCTATGCATATATGTATTTTATACATAAGGACATGTGGTATGATTGCAAATGAGACAACTATCCTACAGAGAGATGTTAGCAACTATAGGTCACCAAGAGGCCTTCAACAATGAACAAAACCCAAATGGCATAGCAAGCTCTAAAAGGCCCTGACTTATCAAAATGTAAAACAATTCAAAAGAGAAAACCATCTACCGTAATCAGGCTTGTAAAGTCCGCATTGGTATATTGTGGGCACCCCCCTTTTCGCGAATATTCAAGAAAATAAACTTTTTGTAACTAACTTGAAAATGCCTTGTGAAATTTCAGTAATTTCAAATCGTGTGTGATTGTTTGCCGTATTTTCATGGAAAAACCTGTTTTCCATCATAAAGTAGAAGTTGAAAATGCTTGTAAATGATACAAGAAAAGTCCATGAGTGTTAAAATAAGTAAAAATCATGAATGAGCAATTGGGGAAGTTGTATTTCCTTTTAACTGGAAGTTCTGATAGCATGTGCAAATTGAAAATAATTACGGTGAGAGTGTGCAGAAAACCTGTTCTTCATAGTTACTACTAGAATATGATTTTGAAGCTAAAACAGTTCTCTTCTTTGGTTAAACACTATTAAATATATCCATAACATTGATGTTTGAATGATCTTCAGCTAAAACAAAATGCATGCGTCAGTATGAAACACCAACGGAACGAATAACTGATTACGTTTTGTAGTTTATACATTGAATGATTAAGCTGGTTCCCGGCTGATAAACAAACATGGCGGAACGTAATCAAACCTCGCAAAATTAAGTTTTTCTCTTATTTCTTGCTTATTGTACTCTATAATCCGCACCCCTGTCTGGCAATACTAATTTTTGAGATAAAAACCGCTTACTATACAAGCCTCAATTCAGTACCTGAATTGTGTACAAAACAACAAAAGAAAAACAAATATGTCATACAGAAACTAATTATAGGCTTCTGACTTTGGACGCAACACATACAGCATATGGTGGGGTTAAACATGTTTGTGGGTGACCAACCCTCCTCTGACCATGGACAGTGGTGTGTATCAGCACAGCATCAAAATATACTATAAAATCAGTTGAAAAGGTTTGGTGTTTGTTTGCTTATATTGTATATGTATAAGTTAGAATATATAGTGATTGTTACTTGTAAATTTGAGATTGATATAAATCATAAAATGTTTAATTTTATTTGTAAGTATTTACCTTTTATAGCTGTCACTATACCCTACAGTAGGACTGCAGACACCAGGAGAGGTTGTTGAAGCAAACTTTGGACAATTACCATTTATATTTGACATAGAAGATTATATGAAGGTACATAGATATTTTAAGAGCTAACTTTATAATGCAGCAGTTATCCTGTCAAACCATCACACCAATGTTAAAGATTTAGCTAAACAAATTAATTTCTTTTTACTTAAGATATCAGCTATAAACAATAAGAGCAGTCTGTTTGGTGTAAAAATGTTGCGTTCTTTATCAAGAAGCAGCAAATACAAATTTTAATTGTTTGGTTTAACCCAGCTAACTTAACATAATTGAATGTGGGCATTCCTGATTTTGAAACTACAGAATTTAAAAATAAAATTGTATTATTTCAATAGGCAACTGTACTAAAAAGCAATAAACATGAAAGTGATTATTTGAATTTCATCAAATTACCAGTAAAAATACAAACATTTCTTGGCAGAATCAGATTATTTGTGGAACTTGTAAGTTCATATCTGTAAACTACAAATTTTGTTGATTATCATTAATTTGTATGCCCCCGCCGCAGCGGAGGGGGCATTGAGTGTTACTCTCATTTTTAAAGTTTATTTCATTGAAAATTGTCTCTCTAGGAATGGCACATGAAGACAAAACTGACAATAGAAAGATTCCCAGTCAATGACAAAAAGGGGGAATGGCAGACAGCATTACAAAGGTCAGTAAGATTTGTGCAATTTTTATCGTCCTTTCTTTTAAAGAATACCAGTGGAAAATGAAAATTTGTAAATGTTAACATCTGTTTAATTTAATTTGTGACCATGACCTTCAGTTCCTTACCAACAGAAGAAAAAGTTACTTTTAAAGCTTATTTGGCCCTAAAATGTAATTAATTTTAAAAAAAATAAGATGTGGTATGATTGCCAATGGGACAAGTTTCCACCGAAGACCAAATGTTGTAGAAGATAAAAACTATATGTTACCGTGTCAATGTATATTTGTTCTGCCTAACAGAAGTTCCCCTGGAAACTTTGTTATAAACAATCCAGTAATATCTGTTCCTGAAGGAACTAATACTGACACTGTAATATTTGTTCCAGTGGAAATATTATTACAGAATATTTCTTCCCCTTTGAACTTATATTATGAAGGAACTTCTATTTCCTGACAACCATAGGCCTTTAACAATGAGCAAAACCCATACTGCATAGTAAGCTATGAAAGACCCCAAAATGACAAATATAAAACAACCCAAACAAGAAAACTAACAACCTGATTTATGTACAGAACAAAAAACAAGAAACAAATAAGATATACAGCAACAAATTACAAGAATTGCATGTAATTTTGAATGTTTCTTTTGGTTATTTGAAGAAAATTGTTCATATGGATTAAGATTCTTGTAATCTCCCAATCTTCCTGTTAAACTTTAAATCACTGAATATCATAACTAATTAATTAAATACAACTTTATTTTTAATTCTCTTTAATTTTAGAATTGTTTCAACATATCTAGTGCATTATGGGTATTGTGCTACAGCTGAAGCATTTTCGAAATCTACAGGACAGTCGTTTGACGAAGATCTTGCCTCAGTTAAAAACAGACAAAGTGGGTCTTCCTTTATAAGTACACATGCCAGCAATAAAGTTACATAAACGTATATAATAACTAGAGGCTCTCAAGAGCCTGTGTCGCTCACCTGATTCTACTTTGGTTTTGGAAATCATGTAAAAATAGATTAAAATCATAACAGATACCCTAATAATGAGTGAGGCCAAATTTGGTTTAATATTGGTCCTGTAATTTAATAAAAAATCCTGGTGGCCATCTTGAACAGTAAATCAGCAACAAAGTAGCAACACTTCATCAGCACCTCATAAGAAACATTTATGCCATGTTTTGGTTTCATTCCATTCAGTGCACATCATTTGTATGTATTTCCCATAGGGTGTTATGTTAAAGGAAGTCCCCCCATTGGCGGCCATCATGGATGAAGGATCAGCTTCAAAGTAACAAAACTTAGTTAGCACCTCATAAGGAACATTCATGCCATGTTTGGTTTCAATCCATTCAGTATGTGGATCTCTAAAAGAAGACATTTGTATGTATTGTCCATAGGGTCCTTTGTTAAACATTGTCCCCATCTGGCGGCCATCGTGGATGAAGGATCAGCTTCAAAGTAACAACACTTGGTCATCACCTCAAAAGGAACATGCATGTCATGTTTGGTTTCATTCCATTCAATGGTTCTCTAAAAGAAGACATTTGTATGTATTTCTCATAGGGTCCTATGTTAAACAAGTCCTCCGCTGCAGCCATCTTAGATTATGGATCGGCTTCATAGTAACAACACATGGTCAGCACCTCATAAGGAACATTCATGCCATATTTGGTTTCATTCCATTCATTGGTTCTCTAAAAGAAGACATTTGTATGTATTTCCCATAGGGTCCTATGTTAAACTAAGTCCCCCACTGGCGGCCATCTTGGATGATGGATCAGCTTCAAAGTAACAACACTTGGTCAGCACCTCATAAGGTACATTCATGTCATGTTTGGTTTCATTCCATTCAGTGGTTCTCTAAAAGAAGACATTTGTATGTATTTCCCATAGGGTCCTATGTTAAACTAAGTCCCCTGCTGGCGGCCATCTTGGATAATGGATCGGCTTCATAGTAACAACACTTGGTCAGCACCTCATAAGGAATATTCATGCCATGTTTGGTTTCATTCCATTCAGTGGTTCTCTAAAAGAAGACGTTTGTATGTATTTCTCATAGGGTCCCATGTTAAACTAAGTCCCCTGCTGGCGGCCATCTTGGATTATGGTTCGGCTTCAAAGTAACAACACTCTGTCAGCACCTCATAAGAAACATTCATGCCATGTTTGGTTTCATTCCATTCAGTGGTTCTCTAAAAGAAGTTCAAAATGTAAAAAGTGAACGACGGACGAAGACGGACGACGACGTCGACGGACGCCAAGTGATGAGAAAAGCTCACTTGGCCCTTCGGGCCAGGTGAGCTGAAAAGGAAGCAAAATAATAACATTTTTTATGTCCATGTTTGGTAACATAAAATCTACAAAAATTATATACTTTTTAGTCCTGATATTGATTTAGATACATCAATAGATAAATGTCAAAGCTGACAATACTGCCCTGAGAGTATTGTTATTAAGAGTATTCAAATGAGAATACAATACAGATGTTCAAGAAAAATATTTAGGGGAAAGATTAATTTGAGAGCTACTTATGAAAATACCTGTGGACATTAAACAGCCCTCCATTATCCTCATAAATATATATGGTGATGGAAATTTGTTAAAAGGAGTACAGGATATCATGATACAGTCATATCATATCAGTACTTAATGCTTGGTTGGGTAAAAGAAAAAGTTCCTTATAACACAAACAATCCCTACATATAATAAACACACACACACAAAATATGTTTTAGTGATATTCTAAAACAAGCGAAGAAGCGTATATTGAATACTAGGAAATTTAAAATAGTAGTGAATGTCTATTGAAAAGACCAATGATTAATAAATAACCTTTTTATACCCCCGCTTTAAAAAAAGTGGGGTATACTGTTTTCAGATTCATCACTCAACAACTTCCTGTTTACCGAAATATTTGGGCGGGGGTATCATCAGTGAGCAGTAGCTCGCAGTTTCACTTGTTGAGTTTAATTCATTACTGTCAAAATAAAATGCTAAAGTTTACAAACAGAAACAGTTCCTTTCAGCCCTTTACTGTGTTTCTTGCTCTCTACTTATATAATGATTAGTAGTACAGTATATACATTTTTGCTAGGTATTAATAAAATGATAATTAGTATATGAATTTTTGCAGGAATACAGAAGTTAGTGCTAGCAGGAAGAATGGGAGAAGCTATAGAGACAGCACAAGAATTATATCCTGGATTATTAGAACACAATCTTAATTTATTATTTATGTTAAAATGTAGACAATTTATTGAAATGGTGAACGGGACGGACAGTGAAGTACGTGGCCCTGCCATAAGGAGCCCAAAATCACAAGGAAGTAATCGGTCAAGTCCAAATATGAGTCCGGTACATCACAGTTTGAATTCAGCCAGAAACACTCCAGTTGGATCTCGGGGCAGTAGTCCCAGTAGACCCATTGGGGTCAAAGGTTACTGTTCAGGGTCAACAAGTCAAAGTTCACAAATAAATAATCAGAACAGTAATTGTGATCTCAAACCAATAAATGAGGAAGAAATGAATGCAGCAAACATAGCCATGAATGGCAAAGACATACCGGTGATTGAAAGTGACGATGTAGATATGTGTGACAATGTAATAGACGATGGTAAACATGTGACTAACGGTACCTCCCTCTGTGTTAACGGATTTAGTAAAAATGGTGACGTTTGTAATAATTCAGAAGAAATGGGTAGGTTTGCAATATTATGTATACTTCTAAAGGAGAAGATAGGATCAGGCTAATTATTTTGCATTTTTGATTTGGGAAGTTTAATAAATCTCCATTAAACATCCTTCAGATGTTTACAAGACATTAGTCTGTCAGGTATCAGTGTTTATATTTTTTATTTGGTCTTACATATTTGCTTTAGGCCTTCAATTGCATTTAAGGAAAAACTTCCAGTAATAGCCATATTTTGACATTTTGACATTAAAATTTAGGTATGAAAAACATTCTGAACAAAATAAATATAAACACAGTTACATAACAAGATTATTTTATAACTTTTACCATTGCATCAGATGAGCATGATGAGGTCAAAATCTTGTTCAGAAACAAATTTAATCTATTTAGTATTAGTCAGATATTGAAACTAAGTAGCTGAAATAGGTTGTTGTTTATTACAGATATAGATAATCACTCAGGGAAACGACATCTATGTGGTGGCAGTCAGGGAGCTATAGAAAAGATGTTGGTTTTCGGTAGGGAACTTAAAGCCATGCACAACCAACTAAAGGCACAATATGGACATAATGATCCTAATGAAAAAATGTTACAAGTAAGATAATCATGGCTGATATAGGTGTAAAATCTGGAAAAATATATACACACCAGTGATCCTATTAGGGGCTATTGGTAAGGCAGATACCATATGCTCTGTGTTCTCAGTTACTTTTAAAAACAATTGGTTTGGGAATTGTATACAATAGATTTTTGTCTGCATTTTCCAATTGCCATTGTAATACAATGAATTTTTTCCAATCGTGTACAACAGATTTTGATATGTATTACCTATTACATCTGCAGTACTGATAGCCAGTTATAGAGTGGGATAAAGTTGCATCTGAAATCATTCAATTTTAGCTTGTGTCAGCTTTTGCCATCTTTTTGCGTCCATTGTTCAGATACTTTTTTTTAAAAACCATATCTTTAACTGCTTAATGGATTGAAACCAAAGTTTGTCTTGCTTCATCTGTAGGATGTCAACAACTACAAACTGTGATTTTGTTCAGGTTTATCAACCAACATTGCTCCCAGGTCTAAAATAGAACATAGGGGTCAAACTACAGTTTTGTAAATATTTCTTAAACTATAGCAATTAGAGAATAATTAAGAGGGAAGAAATTATCAGTGTAAGTTTTATCTTTCCTGAAAATCTGGAAAAATCTGTCCACCTGTTATGGAGTTATTATTCCTGAAATTTTTTTTTTAACATTTTTTGCATTTCCAATCCATTGTTTCAAAAACTATATTGGCTAGTTAAAAGTGTAAATTTCAAAAATTATCTGCATGACAAGATGTATCCGCCCTGAAAATTCAAGAAAAATCTAACTACTCATTTTGGGGTTATTGCCCAGATTTTTTCCAATAGTTGGTTGTCAATTGTGAAAACTATAGGATCTAGTTTAAAAGTGTAAATTGCAAAAAGGATCAACATGACAAGATGTATCTACCCTGAAAATTGGAGACAAATCTATCAACTGTGTTTGGAATTATTACCCCTGATGTATCTTTTTTTTTGCATCGGAGAAAAATATTGGAGCTAGGTTTAAATTGTAAACGATTTATTAACCCTGAAAAATATTGCCCCTAACATGTTGATTTTTACTGTTTTCATAGTTTTCTAAAATAAACTATAGTAGCCAAGGTTAACCTGTAAATTGCAGAATTGCAAAAAGGATCAGTAACACAAAGAGTACCTATAGTATGTACATGTAAAAGTCCTAATTTGCAAATTAGTGATGTTTTCAGGTACAGGTTTAAGCTATCCTGTGATTTAGGTAGGTGACCAAATATTTCCTGTATAAACTATATTTACCAATTACAAATTATGAAGGGGTTCAAGACAAAATTGTTTGGTGTATTGGATGATTGTTAAGTGAACATGTTCATCTAGTAGGGTTCATCTGACCTTTTCTTCATTTCAGTGGTTCATTGATCAACATTAGGTTTTTTTTGGTAAGGTCTGTTTCACAGACACTACTATAAGCCATAGATCAAGTATATTTGTTTTATGGAGTATTTAGAAGGTGCACATGTCAATCACCGGAACCTTGACCTCATTTTAAAGGTCCATTGCTGAGTGTTAATTTTATGATTTGAGGTCTGTTTAGCAGATACAATAAGGAATAGGTATATGAAATGATATTGAGTTGTTCATGTGCGTCTGGCATGGTTCATTTGCCTTTGACCACATTTACATGCATTATTGATAATATTAAGGTATGTGATCCTAGTAGTAAAATCTTAATCTTAAATACTTTCAAAGTATAATTCAGTTATAAGTAGAAAAGACATTTCAGCATCTGCACTCTTGTTAATTATTAATTTATTAGTTTGTTAGAAGTCCATAAAAGGAAATTTTCCAGATCAATTCATTATGTCACTGTATAAATCCATTACCAGTATAAAAGGAATGATTGATTTTAATATATTATTTCAGGATGCTTTTAGTTTAGTAGCTTATTCTGATCCATGGAGTAGTCCTATGGGATACCAGTTAGATCCAGTGCAAAGAGAAAAAGTTTGTGCTTCCCTCAATAGTTCTATATTAGGTAAGATTAGTGCAACATAATAATAGTATGTATTATACCCCCACTCTATGAATGAGAGCTATATTGCATTCACCATATCTGTAAGTACCTCAAATATTTCAGCCATACTTTTCTCTGTTACTACTAAATAGAATGACTTCATATTTGGTCAACAGCTTGACAGTGATCAGTTGTATTGTAAAGTTTTGAGTATTTTTAGGATCTTTCAGATGCCTATCTTGTTTTTTCCCATACTTTGAATTGCAAGGGGGATATGCTTAGCACAAGAACAGGTTCATTCTTGCTCACTCAAATCAAAATATAAAATGAAGTTTACATTCTAAGACCAGTATGGGCTATATAAAAGCAATATTGTAAAACATATATTTTAACCAGGTCATCGTTATTTAATCAACAAAACAACAATGCATCAAAGTGATTGAAAAAAAAACACTAAAAACCAATAAAAAATACAACTTAGGAAAACAGCACACAACAGAATGCCTGCCATTAAGCGAGTTTCTTTTAGTATGAAATTCTTTGATGTCTTTAAAGTATACCAGTATTCCATGAATAATTAAGTACTGTTGAAGAAAAAATTGTCTTGAATACTTTGAAGGCAATTTTCAACCTCCACAACCCATAGAATGATTCCAAAGAATGATCTTTCTGCACAAGTTTATATTAAGTGTCTCAAAAGATCCAAGACTATTTTTATAACAAAATGTTATAAAACTTATACACAATGCTTATTACCACCAAACACGGATCAAGATGGAAATTGTGTGGCATAACTTTCATCGTTCTTGAGTTATGTCCTTTATAAATGGAAAAATTGCTGAATTTGCTGTTTCCACACTCTGACTTTCCTCTAATTTAACCAAATGTGGTGAGATTTATACACAAGGCTTATTTCCACTAAACACAGATCAAGTTAGAAATTTGGGTGACATCACTTAAACAGTTTTCGAGTTATGTCTCTTTATAAATGGAAAATTGCTGAATTTGCTGTATATTTACAAGCACGGGCATCTATGTCCCATGGACACATTCTTCTTTTATTTCTGATTCCTAACTTTTCTTAATATTTTTCAGAATCCTATGGTTTGCCTAAACAGCCTCCATTAGAATTAGTGATCGCTCAATCAACAGAATGCATGAAACTGATGTCAAAGGCAGCAATCGGGTCATGTGCATTCGCCAGTGTGGCAGACTACCTACGTTGACCAACAGAGTGCCTTTAACGAAAATTGTGATAAATTTAGGCCAAAATCTCTACTACCTACAGTGGATTCAGTAAAAACATTATGTTAACCCAGTTTGAAGTATTGTTTGACAGTAATGATATGTGTAAATTAATGCTATATAAAATCTTAGAAAAACTTGTAACGCTTGCTTGAGATACATTGTACAAAGAGAGCAATAGAATTGGTTGATAAAAGAAACCTGGTTCTTTATTACATGAACTGGAACAGTCCATGTGTATGTAGTATTGATTTTGTCCTGTACAAACCAACAACATTAAACACCAAAGCTTCAAATATGCAGGCAGAACATTTATAAAGTTGTGATATAGAGTGAAAGTTTTATCATTCAGCCTCATTTTTCACTTAGTCATACTTTAGAAGCATTGTCAGTCTTAGAAGATATCTGACTATAACAGATTTTAGCATTCCTTTAAGGATTTTATCAAGTTTAAACCACCAACCATATTTATATTCTATTAACCCATGCAACTTGTTATGTGCCAATTTAATTTGATTCATAATTTCATTCATTTGAAAATATCCTTTATGATCTTGTCAGCTATCAAATGTATCTTCATTTTTGTAGAATATTTGATAGAAAATGTTGATATGGGAATAAAAAAAGCATTTACATGTTGAAATACATGTGTTGCATTCAAAATTATAAAGAAATCTATGAAATCTTCTTTTATGAAATTTTGTTCCTGTTTAGTTAAATAAATGCTATGGTTTCTTATACTATTATTTACAGTTGAATTATTAATGCTATACTGGTGAAAGGTATTGGAAAAGGCATGTTCTGTAGATTATTATTCAAAGTGCCAATTTAGCGTTGATATTTACACCATATCATGTGACCTTACTATGCGTATAGTCATGTTTCAGTCTTATTAATGATGATTTATACAACGTGAGAATGATTTTATGTAACTTGTTGCAATTATCACAAATGCTGCATAAAAGTCTTGTGAAAATCAACTGAGAATATATGAAAGTGTATAGATGTTACATACATTCTCAATTTACACCATTGACGAAGAATGATTGGGTTATACCCCTTGGTATTATAAATGCAAATAATATATGATGAGAAAACAGTTGTTGCCCATGTGGTCATCATGTTGTATATGTTGACTTTGTTGATGAAGTGAAATATTTTATATTATTATTTATGAAAAAATACAAATATTTGGACATTTTTAATATATAATGTCTAAAGAATTGTGTGATATACAAAAAAATAAATAAATAGATCGATAATTTGAGTAATATTTCCTTGCCAACAAATTTTGTTATTAGCTGTGTTAGTGCTTCTATATAGTCAACATTACAATGTAGAAATAAGGATATGTGGTATGCTTGCCAATGAGACAACTATCCACCAGAGTTCAAATGAAGTGGATGTAAGCAATTATATGAATCTGTATGGCCTTCAACGATGAGTTAAATCCACACCTTATAGTCGGCTATCAAAGGACCCAACATAAAAAAAGTTAAATAATTCAAAAGAGAACACTAACAGAACGACTTAATCTATAACAAAACAAAATTTACCAGAAAAAAAAATGACAGTCACAGACACGAACCAACCACAACCTCTGAACTACAGGCTCCCAACTTGGGACAGACACATAAAAATGTGGCAGGGTTTAACTTGTTTGTGAGTGCTCAACTCTCCCCTAATCTCAACTTGGGCAGTGGTGTAACACCACAACATAAGAAAAAACTGTAAAAATCAGTTGCAAATGGCTTAACTCCAATGATCTGTACGAGGCACAAAATCAACTAACTTAAAAACAATGGACACAAAGCACTGAAATCAAGAGTACTCACAGTTACTGAAATCTAGTTTAAAGCCAATTACAATTAATAGATAATTCATTTTCTCCCAGACTAAAGTATCAATCAATACACATCCAACAGATTAAGTGTAAAAACCTCATAAACTGTCTGAGAAAGGCATGACCTTGTGCAATGCCAAAAAGCAAGACCTTCTTCAGACATGGAAGGAATTATTTAAAATACCAAGTGCTCCAATGAAAACGAAATTGTTCACATTTTATATATAAAACACTGAAAGGTTGACAGGAATTATCAATAAACACTCAACACCAACACTTGACTCCTCTGACATACAAAGAAAACAACACATAACTTAGCTGGATAAAATATAGTGAGATTAATATTTAGGTGTGGACAAACTTCTCAATGGACTTTAACTATTTGTTTCATATTAATTTCATATGATTGACAATTTAGTCTTCAGTCTTATAATTGCTCAGTTTCAAGCAGAATGTGAGGCTTGGTTGTACCTCAGAGATTGAAGTGTTTTCTGGTTAGTTATTTTATATATTTATGAAGTTTCAGTTGATAAATCATACCTCAAAGGCTTTTCCTTCATCTTTGATCACAAAATTTTTATGACGGACCTTTGGTTTTTTCAATGTACAAATGTGACAGTGAAAGTAGGGCATGGGATCCTATGGACACACAGTCATGTTTTTTTTGCATCATGTTTAAAGTCCTTAGTTTTGTTATATGGTTTATGAATAGGTATGCACATATTACTGTCTTGATAGGTTGGTGCTGTTTGGTTCACTACATGAGGATAAGAGCACCCTTGGTCTTCTAGGGTTAGAATGCTGACCTTGAAGGCTAAAGGTAAAGGGTTAGATCCTCAGCTGTGTCAACAAAAGATGTTAAACTAGCAACTGCTGCTTAAGTGTCAATCACATGGGATTTAGTAGAAAGTATTGTCTTCTCAGTGTGGACTTGGAATACCAGTAACTTATGAAGTATTTGTTAAAAATCTGATAAAGTATGTATTGCTAGCACAAGGCAAAGTAAAGTTTTATCACATATGTCAATGAGACAGCAACCCACTGACACGAATAACCAAAGACATTTACAGTTCAATTGACAGTTTTGAATCACCGCAAGTTATGAAAGTTAGCGAAAATACTTATAAATCTTTGTCATCAACATCAAATAAAATTGAGAATGGAAATGGGGAATATATCAAAGAGACAACAACCCGACCAAAGAGCAGAAAACAACCCAAGGCCACCAATGAGTCCAACACAGCAAGAAAATCCCGCACCAGGAGGGGGGCTTCAGCTGGCCCCTAAACAAAAATGTGTACTAGTTCAGTGAAAATGGACGTTACACTAAACTCTGAAACATATAAATGAACTTAAATTAAAAAACATACAAGACTAACAAAGGCCAGAGGCTCCTGACTTGGGACAGGCGAAAAAATGCAGCGGGGTTAAACATGTTTTATGAGATCTCAACCCTCCCTCTATACCTCTAGCCAATATAGAATAAACAAACACACAGCAATACGCACAGTATTAAAACTCAGTTTAAAAGAAGTCCGAGTCTGATGTCAGAAAAGGTAACAGAAGAAACTAAGAAAATGACAATGATACATAAATTAACAAAGGACTACTGGTGTTTATTTCCGATGCAAAGACCCTGTGAGTGAATCAATATTAATTCCAAAATATGCCATCTTTAATGACCTGACAACAGTATTGTAACTATTTCCCTTCTGAATAACTCTGTTTAAAGGTTTGGTTAGCTTTTGAGGTGAATGCTGACATTTTTGTGCTTTGTATAGAATATTACTATAAAAGATTGGATGTGAAATACTTGAACGTATAAGATGTCTGCATGTTGATTTATATTTACGAATGATGTCCTTGTACCGATGATAAAATTTAGTAAATCTTTTTCAGTAATTCAGAGATTTCTTTCGTAATACATTGTAAGACCACTTGTTAACCTGTAGCAGCATTAAGGTTTAAGTACCCTTTTGTTGTTTCAATGCTAAACATGGTAATATTATAAAAAATCCAGCTTTTCGCCTTGACATTTGGGTACTTAATAGATGGGGGATTACTGCATGCAGTATTAGCAATGATTTCCCTTAAACAAGTTTTAAGATTAAGATATTAATTAAAACAAGTACAAATAATGACCAATTCAAGTACCGTACTACTTCTAAAGTGGGCTCTTTAGTCACACATCAGGAGTGTTTTTGGGTCGCTAAGGTTGTTGAGGACTTTTTGTAATAATAAATGCTAGCACATGGAAAAACAAGTGTCATCTATGTTTAAAATGCTACAATGAATATCTCTTTATTTAATAAAGTGTGTGGATTTTCTGTAAAAATCTAGGCTTGATTTGCCACAAAATCCCAATTTTCTATTAAATGCAATGAAACAATAAATATTATTGCTGTAAATGTTTCTCTTTGGTATATGAACAAAATGGCATGTCTCTTGAATTCAATATTTTTGCCATTTTGATATTATTGACCCTTAAAAATTTCAAAATACACATGCCTACAGAAGGGGTCATAAACGATATTCAACTAGTTTTATGATGTCACATACATCCACAATTTAATCTAAATCAATGGGAAAATGAAAATCAATTCAGAAAAAAACACCTACCTCTATAAGACCAGTATAATGGACAAAATAATCACAGGTTAACAAGTAAAAGCTGGCACTGCCAACTGATGCTCCCTTGCACTGTACATTATTGAGAGAAAAACACTTATTTCAAACAATCAAAATACTAATATGATTTGAGGGACTTATAATAAACATGGGACTATTATTGCAAATTTTCACCTGTGTAAATGTGCTGCAACTCATAGAGGAATGCCATTCAGAAACCAACTGACCTATTTTTAGTAAGTGTGATCTTTGATCTATTGATCTTTAATATATATAAGCGTCATTCCAACAAGGATTTGTATCACTATATGTACAAATCTTTGATTCCAAAAAAGCAAGGAATTCTAAAGTTATCATCCCAAACAATTTGTTTCATCACACACTGGCAGGCTGGCAAAGTAATTACTATATAAGGGCAATACCTCCTGTAATAAGTAGTCATGTGATCACTTTGTTTTATCACACACAGACAGGCTGGCAAAACAATTACTATATAAGGGCAATACCTCCTGTAATAAGTAGTCATGTGATCATTTTGTTTCTTTACACACAGGCAGGCTGGCAAACAATTACATGAGATAATTTTGATAGAAATAAATCTCGGCATTTTTAGCAATATAAGTAAAAGTTATAATTTGGTTGAAATTGATCCAGTGGTTTCAGAGAAGATTTTTTTTAAAGTTATGGCCATGACAGACACCAAGTAATATAATGGCTATAGCTAACATGGTTTTGTGGGAATCAAGAGCTAGAAAAAGTTTTGAATGACCATTCCTATAATCCTAATCTGGTTTCGTTATGGTAGAAAATTTTGACCAATAAGAATCAAAGATTGACTGGTGGTAATCTTTTTTTCACCAAATTGGAATGAGATACTGACCAATTGTTGTGGCCCTTCCATGCATCATTTGTGTAATGATTGATTAAAATATGATCCTGTGTCCACACTTTGCTTTATACAAGGATCTGATTACATTCAGTTCTACTTTCTGTTTTAGAGAATTTTCAGGATCATCTGGTTTTCGTTTCTCATGATGCACACCTTTGAAAATCCGAGGGCTGAAATTTCATAGGCAGCTGGCTGATGTTATAGTTACCAGAACAGAAATTAAAACAGTGTTGTCAGAACCTTGCAAGCAAAGAATGAACACAGGATCTGTTTAACAGTATATCAATCAGATTGGATTAAAATTAGTGTAGTTATTTCAAATAATAAAGTGAAATTGTGGTTTCGTTAGAATTACATTAGGAACTATATGAAACTAATGTCACCTTGTTTCTCTTCACAATCAACATCAAAGGAGAATATTTTTCAAATTTTGTCAATCAGAATCACAGATTGCCCCTAGTGGCCAAATTTGTCATCTGATTTCACCAAATGATGTGTCAAGTGAGTTGTATGAAAAGTACTGATACTGATAGGCTTCAATAATAACAGATACACGTGACTTAAGGGGTTACAGAACACCTAAGGGAGTTAGCTCTTTAAAAATCAGCAGAACGCTTTAATCACATGCTATAAGTAAAGAGAAATCAAGCTTCTCAATGATCAAAATTTGTATTTGTCAAACTGCTTTATCCAATGAACATGATGAAATTATTCCTGTAAATTGTGTCATTCTAATTTCCTGAAATTTTATATTTATGTCATCAGGACAAAGTAAATATTTTGTCAAAGTTTAATGAAAGTTAAACAAGCCAAATCTATATTAGTTATTGTTTCTTTGTAGCATTTCGTCTCGAGTGTGGGAGGTCGTGGGTTCGAACCACGGCCGGGTCAAACGAAAGACTTAAAAAAAATTGGTATTTGCTGCTTCTCCGCTAAGCTGGCAGCATTAAGGAGTAAAAGCAAATGCTGGTCGGCTTGGAGTCAGAGTAATGTGTCCCGATAAGGTGACATGTCTTCCTGCTGATTGTTACCTTGTGAACTAGCACGTTAAAAATCCGGCTCAGCCCATCGGTCTAGTACAAAGCAGGGTAAATTTTCATATTACATTAACATGTTCTTGTTCCTGAATATGCATATTAATATGCCACTGGATGTTAAGCAGACATCCATCATCATTTATTTTAGTCAAAGTGTTGGTTTACTTATTGCAGTAAAATCAAATAAGCTGATTAATTAAAAAGCTAAAAGAATTATAATTTATACAACATCTTTTTTATTATCTGTTAATAATAAATACAATTACAACAATTACATTGATATTGTATCAATAATTATAAATTGAAAAATTATATTATTAATATTCTGTTTTAATTATATAATAATCATTATTAAATTCTACAGTTGTAGTTCTTAAAAAAAATGTATAGACTATAATAGTATTATAATTATTATTATTATACAAATAATATATCTTGTTCACTCTTCTGAATTCTGAATGTGGATGTGTTAAAAAGATAGACTAATATAAAGAACCTTATCTCAAAAAATATATTGAAAAAGTAGAAATGGATTCAATTTGATCAATTGGAATTCTTGGAACTAAGCCTAATGAGAATTTTGGATTTTGCATTTAGTTACCTTACAAGTGTTTGGGTACTTCATGGACTTTCTCGGAAAATAGCTGTCAAAACCAAATGTTCCTACTAAAATAAATTACAATAAAAGTAGAAAGTAAGTATATATGATTAGAGCACTTTTTTAAAGTGTGTTGACACAATTCCAAAAATTTCTTTGGACGAAGACAGTTCAATTTTTTAAAGCTGAAAATAAATCATTCCTGATATACAATTGCTTAAGTAGCCCAGATCACATATACTAAGTGACTCTTGAATTTTTTAACAACCTTACTTGGCCAGGCCAAAAAAAAAAACCAAGTTTATTTTTTAATATTGGCAAAAAAAACCAGAAAAAAACATAAATTTACATGTACATGAATAAGGACTTTTGCTCAAATATACTAATTATATATTACATGATGCATGATATTGTTGATGCTTCATTATTTTTTCATACACATTTTGAACAGCTTCAAAAGTATTTACCTAAAGCATACATGTAGTTAACAGAAAGTATAAAACTTTTAAACATGTATTATAAAACAGAGATTCATAATTTATGATGTGTCACTGTGTATATAAAATGTATTACAGTGTTTCAAAACCATAAAAATATGAGGTGTAAACCATACACTGACAACAGTTAATTTAGAACTGAACATGATTAACAATTCTATATATATTCATGATGATTATAAACAAGAGGCTCTCAAGAGCCTGAATCGCTCACCTTAATTTTTTGCTTAACTCTTTCATCAATGATTATTTTTGCTTTTCAATATAAATTAATGAGTGGCTTAAAAATGCCATTTAAATGTTCTTTGTATCTGTCATATTTTCTTCAAAAGCAAAAAAAATGCATTTTACCCCTATGATCCATTTTAGCCATAGTGGCAATGTTTCTTGACGTACAAGGAAATAAAATTCATTATTTATACTAGATACTCTGAAACTCATAATTGATTCAGCAGTTTCAAAGGAGAAGATTTTTTAAAGTAAGCAAACAAGATGTACAAATTGTGAAAAAATTGTCTTTTAAAGGACAATAACTCCTTAAGGGGTCAATTGACAATTTTGGTCAAATTAAACTTATTTGTAGATCTTACTTTGCTGAACATTTTTGTGGTTTACAGTTTATCTTTATCTATAATAATATTCAAGATAATAACCAAAACTGCAAAATTTCCTTAAAATTACCAATTGAGTGGCAGCAACCCAACTATGAGTTGTTAGATTCATATGAAAATTTCAGGGCTGACAGAACTTGACCTTCATGACCTTATGAACATTTAGCTAGAAACAGATATTTTAATTTATCGCATTACACATGTGATTGTTATGCATGTAATGGAGTTATCTTCCATGCCAATAATATATATATCATCAAAGCCATGAATCTTAATAAATAACTTTCAACAAATCTGTAAATATTTTGCATACAACAAAATATATATTAAAGGAAAATAATGTCCTCTGAACCACTAGAAAACTTGTAATTACATTTTGTACTTATGAATTTAAACAGGACTTTATTTGTGGGGTTATTAATAATTAATAATTTTATTGTTTACAAAAATAAATTTCCAACAAAATATAAATTATCTATTGACTGGAACTTGTATAGTCTAACTATACTAAATCCTTGATGTACTAGTACTGTATCAGATCTTAGGCAAAACAATTTTTTTTATGTCATCAATGAATTAAAAAATTCTCATAGTATCCATGTACAAACAAGTGGATTTATATTTAAGTTTGTAAATCTGTTTCTTCATTCTCAGAGAAATATTTATCCTCCATGCTATAATCTCCATTCACATCCATGTCTTCATCAGAAGAATCTTCATCATAAGTTGATTCACTATCAGTTTCATTTGATTTAGAAATGTTATGTCTGACCATGGAAGATAACTCTGCATTAGACTCTTCATCGTCCGTGATTTTCTCTGCTGTATAAATGTTTTCAATGTCACTATCAGATGTCACTTCAGAATTTTTGTCTCTGCTCGTCAAGCAATTTTCTTTTTCGACTTGATCCATTATCATATCATTAAGTTTTGATTCCATTTTTGAATTTTTAAATCTAAGTGCCCGTAATGCACACAAGCCCTCCTTTCTGTGTCTCAGTAGATGTGGCATCCTTGTGTAAGTTTTTTCACAATACTCACACTGGTATGGCCGTTCACCAGAATGAATTCGTAAATGCCACTCCATGTTAGATTTTTCTGTAAATTTTTTTAAGCAGATGTCACACTGATATGGTTTTTCACCAGTGTGTGTTTTGAAATGGGTCTGTAAATCTTTTGGTGAAAAGAATCCTTTTTGACATACTCCACATGTATATTCTTTAATTTGCAAATGTACTCGTCTCACATGTGACAATAAATTACCTTTGGTGCTGAATTCTTTTCCGCAGTATTCACATTGGTAATCTTTTGTTCCAGCATGCATCATTAAATGTCTTTCCAAGTGATATTTACGAGTAAACATTTTGTCACACTGGTCACACTTGAAAGGCTTCACACCAGCATGCAGGCTAAGTATGTGTTCTTTCATTTGACGTTTAGTTTTAAACTCTTTTCTACAAACTTCACATGCATAGGTCATAACCCCATGCCTTGTGACATGCCTTTTTAATAGATATTCACTGTTAAATGTTTCATTACAAATACCGCAAACTAAATTTTCTAGCTCTTTCTTATGTACATTTTTAACATGTCGAATCAAATGATATCGCTGTGTAAATACTTTTTCACACTCTTCACATTTATGATTTCTTTCCCCGGTATGTATAACAGAATGTCTTCGTAATTCACTTGGTCGGCCAAAAGATTTACCACATAGCTTACAAACAACTCTGTCTTTTGGTTTGTACGTTTTAGTTTTGTTTCTTGATTTAGCATCTAAATCATTATCTGTTTTATATTCTTTAACTGTATTTGTATATGATGGGATATTTAATAAATTTCCATGCATTGGTTGTTTTTGAATGTCTTCCTCAGTTTTTTCTGAATCAGAATTTTCATGTTCCCGAATAATTCCAATATCTGAGTAGGTATCAACTGAACTTTTATTTTCTGAAATGTCAGCACAAGATACTGATACATCCTGTACATCAGCATCAATAGATTCAGTGATGGAGTTTGACTTCTCTGTTTTATCAGAATCAGTGATGGCGTTTGACTTCTCTGTTTTATCAGAATCGGTATTTGGAAGTGCAGTTTTCCATGATGGAATTTTCAATAAATATTTCTTCACTTCTCTTTCGAGAAGATCTTCGTCACACTTTGTAGTAATTTGCTGTGGTCTTCGTTTTGGAATGGTACTCTTTCTTCTGGACGTAAAAGTTTTTTGCTTTATTTCATTACCGTGGTTATGATTTTGTGAATTTCTATTATTATAAGTTTTTCCATGATTTATAGACCCTTGTTCAAATAATGGAATTTGTTCATATTCACTTGTAACTGATGTGATTGGGTCTAAAACTCCTTCACTCATCTGCTTTTGCAACTCATCTGATTGATGAAAATTTCTATTTAATTTACTTATTCCATTTGACACCATATTTCTAGAAAATGTGACATTACACTTTACATTTGGTACATTTAAAATACTACCATTTTTATAGTTTTTCTCTGAAGATGATATGCCAGTGTTGTTTCCATTGTCTAAGACAGGAGACTGGTACCAGTGACTTCTAGATGATTCTTCAGACTTCCATGAATCAGTATCATATTGAGAGAAGTTTAGTGAATTGAATTTGTCTGAAAACATCTTTTCACTTCCACCAACATTTTCTCTGTCTCCATATTTCATCCCTGTAAACCGATTTCCATTTTCTTGTGTCATTTCAAAGCAAGATTATTTTCTGTCTTAACTTTGAAATGTCTGAAAAGCCATTGGTTGTTATACTTTTTTTTATCAAATTGCAAGAAGAACAGTTTTTATTTTTTCTTCAAATGAGGTCATATTTTTTATCCAATCAAATAATTATAAGTGTTCAAGTTCACATCTGTGACAATGTTCAGTTTCTATCAATAATTTTAACTTTTTTTTAAGTTTCATCTCAACAAAAATGTGGCATTTCCTTATTTTAAAGTTTCCATATTATTCCAGCATCATAACCAGCAAACAACTGAAATTATAAAATACATGTACGTCAAATTAAAATTTAATAAATCATATAACTGAAAACAGATTTCTTTTTAATAAAATGCCATTATTTTTTATGTCATCAGGCAAAAAGATAATATGTTTAGATTTAGATATGAACTATATAGATTCCTTATACAAATTAATAGTTGTTTGCTTAGCATTAACTTGAAAATATTCAAAGTATACTTTTTCTTAGGTTAACATAAATGTAGCAGATTTATTATTTTGATCACCACAGCATTTATCTGCTGAATATTATCATGTGATTCAAATCTTTACAGAGAAGCAAACCACTTCTTAGCTTAGGCAATGCCTTAGTTCATTTCAAAATTCTGATATCTTATTGCTATTTGTCAACCATTACAGGCCATCATATACATTCCTGAAAAATATTGGTCACAAAGGGAAATTTCTGAAGCAACAATGCAAATCATTGCCATTGGTGAAGTGTTCCAGATTCAGATCTATTGAATTACAAATTTATACCACAGTGCATTCTACTTTCATCTAATTTTATATAAAACTGTTTTGACAGTATGACTAGGTAAACTCACAGACACTTGAGTCTAAAGAAAATAAACCAGTTTCTGTAAAACCCAAATGGTAAAAAAAATTACAGACAGGTGCTTATCTGGGCTCGTCTATCACCATTATTTCGGTCAGTTGATGTTAATTTGAAAGGAATTCTATGACGACTATCTTTCCTTTGTTAATAAATATTACCTGATATCACTGAAAGAATCAATATCATTTTAGAAACAAAGCTGTTAGATGTGCAAGAATAACAAAAATCAGAAATCAACATTAAAACCGGAAGTAGTGTAACTTTAGAGATCTAAAGATTTAGAAGGTCCGCTTTGAATATTTTCCGTGTTGAATGTACATATGGTAGTATAATAGTCCCAGCTTAAATGTTGTTTAGTTGATGAATTATATTTCGATAATTACTATAAACACCTTTAATATAACATTTTACTTCCAATCTATCTGAATAATTCAATGAATATACTTATGTCACTAATCGCATCAGAGACGTTTATCAAGGATTTTTTAATATACAGTACAGGTCTATAGTAAAAGGCATACATGTATGGTTAATTACAAAAATAACAAATAAAAAAAATGTTGGAGGAATTTGTATTTTATTCATAAAGAAGAGTCTAAATGTTCTTTCTTTTTCTTCTTACAGTCCCTTTTCAATGCATAAATGCAACACAAGCCAGACAAAAAAATAATTTTCCAAATAAAAATTTAATAAATATTTTAATTATCTAATTTAATTTCAATACACGGATGAGGGTTTGGGAATAATTGGTTCGTGTGATGCCTTTTTAAGAAGTTTACTATTTGAATAACATAGACGGTCAAACAAATCGTGCAACCGAGCAGGGACAGTCACCTAGACTGTCCCTGAACCGAGGAAGCAAAAAATATTTCAACCGTTTAAATACTTTTGCTTTCCTCTCATCAGAGACATATGATATGTATTATTGGTCTCTACTTACATTGATTCCTTTTAACATTCTTTTTTTTTTTTTTTTGTTGGATTTTGTTTTTTTGGATGGGGGTACCTCTTTCCTGACCTATATTCATCTTTGTTATCCATCACACATGAATGAATTAATAAAAGTGCTGCATAATTGATTTTTTCTATTTAATGTTTTAAAAAGAAAAACTTCATTTATGATACTTGAATTAATGTTCTATTTCTTCTTTTCTTCAATGTAAATATTCTTTGTTGTTCAACTGTACACTTGTTTTTAAGTGTTGTGAGTTGTAAGAAAAGATGGATTGATACTGAGTGGTTTAGGAAATATAACACCTTTTACTTCTTTATTTTCTCCAAGGTGACATTCTACAACAGAACATGCTAGCAAATGTCCAAATTACAAAGAAAAAGTGTAAAAATTACGTTTATTCTTGCGTATGATCTTTTATGACAAAGGCAGTCGTGTTTTCTACCTAGAAGCTGAAGATCGATTGAGGTTTTATTTTATATCTGTTATTTAGTAATAGGTATCTATGAAATATTTTATTTCTTTGTGATCTGGTAGCTTTGAAGTTACAAATTTTATTTTTCTGAAGGGAGCCTGCATGAGTTTTTTTGGCAAACCCATTAAGGACGTTATGCAATAGCTATCTGACACTGTGTGCATATAAAGTACAACCAACAGCAGTAATCTACAGAATAGTAATTATAATAGAACAAAATGGTCATTAATTTCCATATACATACAAGATGAAAGCATCTAAACTGCAAGTGTAAAAGTGCTAGATGCGCGAAGACAGTGGAACAATGTTTTAAGAATAATCTAGATATTTTCATCCTGGAATTCTTTTTTTTACAGAAAACAGATCCAATAGTATAGTGTACTGGACTCTTGATTTGAATCCCGTCTGTTCCAATGTATATATACAGATCTTGATCGAGATATGATACTTTTCACCAAAACAGGAAAACTCGGCATTCTCATTCTTTTTACGTCAAATAGATGTTTTTAATAAAAAAGAACTTCGGAAACACCAATATTATAAAGGGTTATTTTCATGTTCTAGTACTGATTTGATACCGCTGCATGTGTACAGTAAGTTTCCGAGAGTATCATCAGCTAAGTATAGCCAGTGCTTCGCGATACTGACATAATTTATATAGGATACATTTCCTTAATTCGATCGCCATTGGCTCAAACTATAGACCCTTACGTATTCATGTATATATGCACCATTGGCTCTCAAACTATAGATCCTTACGTATTCATGTATATATGCACCATTGGCTCAAACTATAGACCCTTACGTATTCATGTATATATGCACCATTGGCTCTCAAACTATAGACCCTTATGTATTCATGTATATATGCACCATTGGCTCTCAAACTGTAGACCCTTACGTATTCATGTATATATGCATCATTGGCTCTCAAACTATAGACCCTTACGTATTCATGTATATATGCACCATTGGCTCTCAAACTATAGATCCTTACGTATTCATGTATATATGCACCATTGGCTCAAACTATAGACCCTTACGTATTCATGTATATATGCACCATTGGCTCTCAAACTATAGACCCTACGTATTCATGTATATATGCACCATTGGCTCTCAAACTATAGACCCTTACGTATTCATGTATATATGCACCATTGGCTCTCAAACTATAGATCCTTACGTATTCATGTATATATGCACCATTGGCTCAAACTATAGACCCTTACGTATTCATGTATATATGCACCATTGGCTCTCAAACTATAGATCCTTACGTATTCATGTATATATGCACCATTGGCTCTCAAACTATAGACCCTCACGTATTCATGTATATATGCACCATTGGCTCTCAAACTATAGACCCTCACGTATTCATGTATATATGCACCATTGGCTCAAACTATAGATCCTCACGTATTCATGTATATATGTATATATGCACCATTGGCTCTCAAACTATAGACCCTTACGTATTCATGTATATATGCACCATTGGCTCTCAAACTATAGACCCTTACGTATTCATGTATATATGCACCATTGGCTCTCAAACTATAGATCCTTACGTATTCATGTATATATACACCATTGGCTCTCAAACTATAGACCCTTACGTATTCATGTATATATGCACCATTGGCTCTCAAACTATAGATCCTTACGTATTCATGTATATATACACCATTGGCTCTCAAACTATAGACCCTTACGTATTCATGTATATATGCACCATTGGCTCTCAAACTTTTGAGTTTGTGCATTCCTGATGAAGGGCTACTCCAGGAAAACGCGCCGGACGCACCAAATTTATAATGAGTTACTAGCATTTTCCGAGATATAATTTATTTTCTTCGATAGGACCCCAATGTTTCCCATAATTAACTAAATTAAACAGAGACTGTCTTGTGTCTTATAAAAAAAGAGTGGTTTGTCTCTTTGACCCTTAAATCAAATAAAACAATTTAGATTTCTGAAATTTTACACTCATTTGTGTTTGAATTTACGCTGAAATCCCTACGTTTGTCTATTTTCTTTGACACCAGGGTTAAGATTCTGTACGCCAGACGCGCATTTCGTCTACAAAAGACTGAAAAAGGATCTGAATATGGGAATATTTTTTTCGTTTTTTTTTTGACATATAGGGTTGTTTGAACTTATTTTTGCGTGATGTTCAGATAAACTAACTTTATTTTTAATAGCACACTCAAAATCTGTACAACGATTAGCACATACATGTACAATATTTTATTGAATATAAGATAATTAAAAAAAAAAAAAAGAAAAGAAAAAATGGAATATAACATGAGTAACTATATAACCACATAATCAATAATGTTCAGTGTTTGTTTACCATGCACCAGAAGCAGCATCATACATACATATATATATATATATATATAAATTTGGTGCAAGAGTTGTTGGATTAAAAAAAAGGATACAAAAAATTAAAGATAAATAGATAAATAATGAGGATTTTTTATTATTTTTTGTAAAAGGAGATAGTCGAACAAGATATCCACATTCCAACTATTCATTAACCAAATAAAATGATCCTTAAATAGCAGCCAACTTATCAAAGTTAACACAATAATCCGTATAGCACATAATAATAGTTTAGTTCTCTTCTTATTTAGTGAAGAACAATTTAGAAGAAAATTCATTTCCTTTTCGATTTCACTTTTTTTATTGTATGACATTAAGGGGATAAGGAATGGTTGCCAATGAAACAAATATTCATTAAAGACCAACAAGACAAGGATGTAGACAACTATAGGTCAACGAAAGACCTTCAACAATAAGCAAAAAACTGCATTATATAGTCGGCTGTTCAAAGCCGCGGGATAACCAAATGTGAAACAATTCAAAAGAAACAAAATACAACATCCTGTTTTAAACTCATAACATTTATCGAATACCAATTATGGTAAACAGCAACAAACGACAACCACTACACTACAATCTCATGGCAGAGAAGGCGGTGAAAACAGGCTTGCGAGCGCCAAGCACACAATGGCTTATTTCCCTTTAATCGTAAGTCAGTGGTAAAAAGTCCTATTTGGTATGACACAAAATAATAAACAGCATTTCGTTTCTAATATACATTTTCTGTGGTTTGTCACTTCCACTAATAAATCAAACGGTTTCAGGAGGGTGTGATGGGTCTTCACTTCTGTATTGTCTTTTTTAAACATTATTTTTTTATCTATTCTTTTTTTAGCCCCCCCCCCCCCCCCCCCCCCCCAAAAAAAAAAAAATAAAAATATTCTCTATTTTTTATTTTTAGCAAGAGTCTCTATTCTGGTAACCCCATCCATTCTCTAATGTAAGCAGTTTGAAAAAAGTGTTCGAATTTATGCCGAAACAGCCTTGACTAAGTTAGACTCGAAGTAATAATAAGCGATTTTGTGTTTTCGATTAATGTCTATACGGAATGTTTATTTTATGTCTTTACCCATTCGTATGTATGCATCCATCCCATGCTTTTTAAAACCACAAGGGTACAAACAGTGACGTTTAAAACCACAAGTGTACAAAAAGTGACGTTTCAAACAATACGGATATGCAGGAGTAATTTTTATTATCTCATCGTCCTGCATCGAATGACTGTATAAGGAATTTCGATTGGCTTTAGACGTCGCTCTCATTCTTGCTTTGTTTTGCATTCTGATGCACGTTGAAAGATAATTTAATATTCTACACTACTATTGAAGTATAATTATTTCTCCTTTTATTCATCCGATTAAAAAGAGCTGTCTTAATGACAGTGTACAAGTTTCCAATTTAGAACGTGTATTGGTTTTTGA